AACAGCGATATGATCATCACGAGGTCAACAGATGTCGGGGGATTTCTTTTGGTTTGCTGTTCGGTAACTTCCATGTCCGAAATACGACAATGTCGATGTGCCCCTTGAGATAGGGGCAAATCGAAATTTCGTTTTCAGGTCAGATAATATCTGAAAACGATCCGAACGGGCCCTGAGGAAGTCACATATCAATATAACAAATCACGACAGGTAGTCTACAACTTGGCAATTTCACCATTAATCCGGACCTAACAAATCTACTTAGACCTCATGAATTTTTCACTTGCTCATTTGATATAAATTTCAATCTCAACACCCGCACTCACATTTTTCGTCTCTGCTTTCCTTCTTCTCTCACTCAAATGAAAAAATCATCATCTGTCCAATATAATCATAATTAACTCTAAACCCATCCCATCTGATGCACCAAATCCAAAACCAAAAAAGTAGAATCACAAATCAAAAGCTCAAGTCAAAAACCAAATATCAAATCATCATTCATCTCTTTTACCACACACACACACAAAACCCTCCATATAAAAAATCATAAACAAAACGAGAACAAATAAACCATAAACAAAATGCAGCACTAATCAATCCATCAATCCATTCCCCACCTCAATTATGATTCGAAATATGAGGGAAAAAAAACACAATATATATTTAAGCAAGAATTTGCACAAAGTCAAAGATAGGAAAAAAAAGAACATGTCATTTGGTCTGAAAAAGCAATCCGACTCTAAAGAATCTAAAAAATCAACATCTTATACAAAAAAGAAAAAAAATAGAAAAATAGAAATCTTTCAAAGGCCAAAGTGAATGTATAGATCATAAAAAGAGAAATGTTCAAGTAGCTTCGTCCGTTTGATCAGCCGTAGGTCTTGTTGATTCAGAGGACGTTGGCTTTTGTCCAGAAGTGTTTTCGTCTGTTGGTTGTGGCGGTAGTGGTGATTGCCGAACAAATCCACTTCGACTATTTGAATAATAGTATGGTGTTGAGGTTTGATTCGACTTATCAGCTCCATCCTTTCTCAATACCGGAATTTCCCGCTCCAGTCTCTCTAGCCTAGCTCCAGCCGTTGTAGCAGTACCAGCACCACCAGCTTGATCCACTGGTGGTTGCGAATTGACTTGCTTCGACACTTCAAGATCTGCTTCCTCTCTTCTCTCCCCTTCATCATCTCCTCGTCTTTCTTTCTCCGCCTCCAATCGATCTAGACGCGACTCAAGAATTTGCAGGTCTCGAGTATACTCAGCTTGCACAGCGCCCACCCTCTCATCCAGCATTTTCTCGAAAACCGTAGACGACTGTTGAAGGAGTCCAAGCAACTGTGCAGATCTTCGAATCTGTTCTTCGAGATTGGATTGCAGAATTCGCGAGTCAGCCAATGAATCATAAAATGTGTCGAACAATTGCAAAAACATTTGTTTCGGTGGAATCTGATTGCTACTGTTGCTAGTAGGACCCGAACTATGAGAACCAATCGAAGGTCGGGTTTGTTGACTCGAGGGATGTGGTTCTGGAGGCGATTGATGTGAGTGGGAATTGGGTTGAGGGTAAGGATGATAAGCTGGCGAATGAACTGCACCATGACTACTACCACCACCTCCGCGAAGCCTAGATGACTCGAGTTGCTGTTGCATGCTTGGACCTCCAAAGCTTGGCATTGCAGTTCGAGGTCCTGCCATTAGATTCACAGAGTTGCCATACGAGGAGACATGACCATTGACACGCCCGTGGTTTGAATTGCTATTGCTCTTCGAGTTAAACATTGGGACATGAGTCAAAGTGGGAACCTGCAAAGGGACACCAGAATGCATTGTCATCCGACGACCAAGGCCATCCGGTGGAGCTCCATTCTGACCGCTCTGAGGATTGGATTGATGATGACTAGAAGGCCCATGCGAAGATCGAAGGGGGTGAGCTGATGAGGTATGCTGCGAATTTTGTTGGTGTTGAGAGGTGTTGTGTTGTTGAACACCATTTGTACTACTGGCTAGATTGGTGCGCGCAATCAAAGGAGTTTTCACCACATCACCATTGGGAGCTGTAGCCTGTAAGAAGCCACTGCGTATCGGAGCTGACTTGATAGACGGCTGGAGCATGACATGAGGTCTGAAGGCGTGTGGTGTAATAGCCAAGTTCTTGACTTTCTCGCGAGCCACTTGTCCTCGTCGACTTGCAATTGTCGAGTTGGGACTTTCAGCGGATGGATCCACACAAGGGTCGTTCTCATAGGTAGGGCTGTAACAGGAAGAGGTTTGCGGTCCACTTATGTAAGGACGCTGTGACTGCGACTGTTGTGGTTTAGGATGAGCTGCTTCGCTTATCGGTTTGAGATTGATGACTGGTGGATGACTCGGATGATGATGGTGATGGTGATGATGGGCGACAGATGAATTGCTGAGCGTTTTGGCGTGCCCATTAGACGGGTGTGAAGTCGTCTTTGAGATCGATCCCCGATGACTACCCGACCTTGCGTGAGAACCACCTGGCGGACTGCGACCATGAATGTGAGGATGGTTAGCGGGTGGTGGCATACCAGTTCCAGATGAGCGAGCCGGTAGCGTAAGCGATCCAGGAAATGCATTCGAGGCAGGACCAGCAAACGAATTCCGACGTTGTTCGATCAAGCGCTTTTGTTCGTCTCTCAACTTGATCGTATTAGCCATCTGTTGCATAGCGTCAGCATTGTGCGGCTGAGTGAAACCGATCACTAAGGGGCTGACAGGATCATTGTTATTAGATCCGCCATGGCCATTCGTCGAGCTATTTGACCGAGGTTGGGGAGGGGAAGTGGAGATCGTCAAAGGGGCGAGAGTGTGCGGTGATTGACTGTCGTGGTTTCGTCGAGATAGACGGTCATCTGTGATCGTCACGCGCCTCTTCTTGGCAAGGTTACTGGTGGGTTGATGCTGATCCGGCTGATGAGATCCATGCCACCCGCGAGCAGCGTAGCCTTCAGGATCGGGCGTGATAGAAGATCGGCAGCTGGAGACGTCCGAATGGTGAGAAGACGTGCGCTGTACAATGCCCAAGGGAGCAGGAAGTGGCTGAGGAGGTAGATGTGGAGTCAGATATTCGGGTTTGACAGATACTTCGTCTGTTGCTTCCATCTCTTCTTCCATCCTGTAAAAAGAGACGAGCCAGGTATCAATTTCATGTGTGGGAAAAATCAGTCAGATAAGCATTGAACAAACGTGGGAGCTCGGTTGTTAGACGAAGCAGACTGATTAGGGTCACTAAAGTCAGCTTGGGAGGTAGATTTTTGATGGGTGTGTGGTGAACGGCGTTGATCGAAAGGTGCAGGCAGAGGAGGGGGAGGGCCGAGATTTGTTTGAGGCCTATCCAGCTCCGCGCGGCTCGCGGTTCGTTTGAGAGCCTGTGAGGTAGGAGGATCATGCGAGGGTCCATGTCGAGCTTGAGGATGAGAGCCGACATCTTCAGATTGATTAGATCGAGCCCAGGGAACCAGAGAGCTTCGACGCCGGGAAGATGAGCTGGCCTGGTAAGAGGGATCCTCGAGAGAGTTTGGAGGAGGGAGCCGAGGAGGAACGACAGGTGAGATCGATTGAGAGTGATGTCGAGATGAATTGGAAGGTGAAGGAAGTAGATGCCGAGGTTGGGGATTGGCTGCCTGAGAAGAGTGGATTGGTCTGAGTGGAGGGAGCGTAGGGCCAGGGTGATGATGCTGAAGAGAGTGAGGTTGTTGTTGATGAGACGATGGCGCAAAGGGAGGTGACATTTGGTAATGCTTTTGCTGTTGGTGTGGGGAAGGCGGAGAGTTTGCTAGACGATTAGGTGGTGATGAGAAATGAGAGTGCAGCTTGTTCGCGTTGTTTAGATTGATGATGTTAGTAGACATTGGTGTAGGAAACAGAGAAGAATGATGAGAGGAGTTGGGTCTGGAGGCTACAAGTTTGGTCGATGAAGATGAGCCAATAGGAGATTGAGATGATTGCAAATGGTTAACAGTACGAAAAGAGGATGATGATGATGAACTTGGAGGAAGTGTTTGTTGAGTGGTAGGAGAAGGAAAGGTGGTGATCCTATTGGTAGAATGAGAATGAAATCGAGTTGTATTTGGGTTTGAGAACGGGTGAGATTCTTGGTGATGGGAAGAAGTGTTCGATCGAGGTAAAGAAGAGGAAATTGAGTCCGGTTGGAATGCCGAGGACGTAGTAGAATGACGAGAAAGATACGGGTGTGATTGGTGTCGAATGGGTGTGGGAATGAATGAATTCCGATCAAGAGAAGAACGTGAGAAGCTAGAAGACTGTGATGAAGCTGTCGCTTTCTCTTGTGAATGAGGATGATGGTTGTTGTAAATGGGTTTGGTAATCCCAGTAGTTCTGATTAATGATTGCGGATGTCTAGTAGTGACTTTGATCGAGCTGGTCGATGTGGGTCTACTATAACTAGAATGCTGATAGAATTTATCAAACTTGTTGATGAGTTGATTTTGATCACTAATCACCTTTGTTGTTGTAAGCTGTGGATGAAGCAAGCAAGCAAGAAAGAGAACGTTAATTAACAAGAATGGTTTGATTAGTTTCTTATTCTTCTCAAGATTAGATTGGATGTCAACTATAATTTGTAAAACGATGCAGAAGAAGATCATGAAACAAGGGTGAAGATGAAAAAATGAAATGAGATGTCAAATGAATTGGATTTCAAATCAAGTTCAAAAAAGAAAGTCTCTTACATAGGATCGCAATCAGATGTGAAAGGAAAGGTAGTTAGGAAGAAATGAAATCTAATCAAAATCTCATGCCAGGTTTGGAGAGTTCAGAGAAGCAGACTAGAGAAAACTTCTGGTTTATAGGTGTAGTAGTGGATTGGGTATGCGGTTCGTTCTAGTCTCAAGACTTGAGTGTTCTGTTTGATGGATTGATGGATTGATGATAGGTATCGATGAGTGATTGGTTAGTGTTTAAGAAGTTAAAAGAAAGCTGAATCAAAGTCGAAATATAAAGTGCTTTGAGTGCTTTGCTTTGAGTGCTTTGCTATGCTATGCTAGTTTGTTTGAAGATAAATCTTCAAGATCTAGTCAAACTATCTTGTATTCAAATGGTCATCAATCTAGCCATCTCTTTAATCATCAACTTATCAGCCAACTCATCAACATTTAGAATCCATGTCATGATTCATAGGAGAAGAAGAAAACACTTTTAAAGTCTTTACTTGATATGTAGTCGAGATGATTGATTGTAATAATGGTGATAGTGAAGATGGTGATAGTGTGATAGTGATCGAGAAGTGTGTAAGTGATCGAGATGAAAGAAAAGAAATCAAATCAAATCAAATTGAAGTTTAAGTGAAAGTCATCTTGTGATGAATTAAAATCATGATCGGTTGCGATGGTGATGAGTGATCATTCATCCACTTTTATCTCATCTCATCTAAGCCGGTCGTTGGATTTGGTGGGGTCGTCATGACACTCCACCACCAACCACCAACCACTCTTGCCTCACGCACGCACGCACACACACACACTCTCGTATACAAGTTTGAGTGCATTAGCAAGGTAGAGATAGAGTAGCATAGAGTCCATCATGAGGTTGCAGTTTGTAGGATGTGGAATGAGGAATTTAAGAATATCGATCTTGGATCGTATTGAAGGATATGATATGATGATTAGGATTGATGTTAGGATATCATAGAGTTCTTACCTGCTTAGATGGTCCATTTGAATTCGATGGTTTTTCATATGGATACATCACACCAGAATGTCTTCCAATTGATCCACTTGTTGATGACATAAGATGATGACTCGCGCCACGATAATTGATGATTGATGAAGTGCTTCTGTTTTCTTGTAATCCATACTTTTCTCTACCTTGCAAGATCATCGATGCTGAGCCTGAACGTTGATGTTTTGATGACTGGCTTGGGTCATCCATGTTGGCATTCATGATTCGTCCACTGGGGTGCTCAGAGATTAACATCTTAATTCCTTCACTAAACAACAATACCCCACCTATAGATCAAATTATAGCAAAGAAGCTTCTTGGAACAAAGACTCAATGTCGACTTAGGATGAAGCTATAGATGAAGTGACTTGTGATAATAATAAAAAGGAGTGTATGGTCGACGAATTCTGCTTCAGTGGCCAATCAATTCACTTTTTCTTTCCTCCCGCAATCTCTCTTTGCCATCTTTCCTATCTCTCACTGATCCTTTCCCCGTGATTGACACAAGGATACAGAGTGTGTCTCATACTTGGTTAGAAATCCAACACACTACTTCATCTTGATCTCAAACTTGAATTTTTTATGTACATGTATTTTGAATCTCTTTTTTTTTCTCGCGTTCCGAGCTTGACTTTTGGGCGCTTTGGGATCTCCCTAGACACTTGTCTCGAACTCACAGCCTCGATGATTCCTTTTGAAGAACATTGCGGTTCGTAACAAGACGATGGTTTTCGATTTGGGTATCTTGAATTTCATCTATATATTGGTTTGCCTATCTGTAGATTTTAAAAATCGTTGAAACAATCCTTTTAATCAGATGTGACTCTGACTCCCAAGTGAATCTCAACTCAAGCATTGTGCGGCATGTTTTGAGGCCTTTTTTAATCAACTTTTACGGGGATCATCGTTTGAGGTTTTTCCACTGGTTTCGAGTCTTGATTCTGTTCGAGTACAGAGATCAAGACAAAGTCTTGGAGAACATCAAAACGTTCTCTTCAGGTTCTTTTTTCCATCATCCGTAGCATGTAAGAGAAATTAAATGGTCAAATGTGAGAGTCAATTTATCCTGCTTTTGGGCTCGCGGAATATGTAGCAGGCATCGATGTGCAGCGCGAACGGATCAACGTAGATGGTTTCATAATCTGTGAGAACATAATATTGCCATCCGGCTCTGAGGCCTGTTTCGAACCTTCCTCACAGCAAAGAATCGCTTCACCGGTGGAGTGATGATCAAATTCTCATGCGCAAACCCATCAAGGAAATATCGGCCTGCCGCCTATATACATCGGGCGCTTGGATAGTTTTGCGCAGTACTTAAATCTACTTAAATGGAGATGAAGGACATGAACCTCGTGTGAATGAATCCCAAGGGTTTCGTCTCCTGGTCACGTTCGACTTCCAACATGCTGAGGTGGAGGGTCCGGTTGAGGCATAGCCAGATTGAGGGACTTGTTCGCATAGACAATGATTTAACCCAACTCTAGTCTCATAACTTTAAGTGGATCCCGGGCATTTCCTGCTTTCTTTTGTGGTCTCTGTCAATTACAAACCAAATTCTTGGCTAAGTAGACTTTCTAATTATCAGTCAGAACCATGAGAGTTACCCTTTCATCCACTCTCTCATCAATCATATGGGAAAACACATTAAGTATCTCAAGAGAGGGCCGGATGTTTGTTAGGGTTGAACAAATGGTGGAGGCTGAGCAGCCGGCACTGAGGACTTCAGCCTCCCGAGACGCTTGGATACGAGTGAAGGAGACAGTCCAAGATGTCTGTCTGCAGCAGAAATATCTTTGATCAAAAACAGAAAGATGTGCTTTTCAAGACGAAAGGAAAACAGATGTTTGACTTGGACAGCCAATCCGTTTTCCTCATTCACTGGTGGCCACCGAACCCCGAGTGCTACTTCCATAGATACCTTGACTGCCTCGTCACTCTCGGCGAGCAAGCTTGCGAGAGAGGCTGTGCACTGCTCACAAATAATTGCTACCGCTTCCTAACTTCTGCAAAATCCACCGATGAGGTAGACCGAAGGATTAAAACCATCTACGATGCTCGCATATATGTTGAAGCACCAGGGCTTAGGAAACCATAGAACTCAGGATACCGCTACATCCAAAGTCATTACCTATTCTCAAAAGCACCATTCCCTATTGTTGATATTTGTATACCTTATCCACTGCGGGCATTCGCAGGTCCGAATCCCAATTCAACAAAACATACATGATACTATCATAGTAGCCAAAGGATCGGCGGTGTAGGAAGTCTAATTGTTTCCAATTATTTTCATGACACATTCATACCCGCATCTGACTCCACAAATCCACACAAGTCTCACTGAAGTACCCGTTATCCCCCTTCGACATAGCCTCTCACAGCCTCATTCTTCTAAACTGATTGATTGATCGCGTCCATGTTTCAAAGAATTGTGACGTGTTTTCATAACCTGTAATTAGGTTTTGAAGGATTTGAAGATTGGAACTGCACTCTTGGTAAGGTGATCTTTGGTGACGCGTGTGTTGAGATAACAGCGCTGATCAGTTAATGTGTTTGTTGTATGCGTGTTCTTAGCTTAAGATCCATTATTTTGTCACTTTTTCTGTCATCTGATCGTTTGGATATCTCCGGCATCCTTCAGAGCATCTTGGTGTATCTTATTCCTTATTTATCACCTTTTCACATATACGTGCCACTCATCTCTGCCTGCGGTTGACGGGGCTTATTTTGAGCTGGTACTAAAGCCAGTACTAAGGATTATATAGAACCTTACCAAATTGCTATGGCTAAATAGTAGGATAGAAAAATTCCGGTTTGATTCCCAAGCAAACGCACTGCATTGCGAGGAATTATCCATGGCTCGGAAATCATCCTACTTCACAATAAGACCTTTGCCACCAGAAGAAGACTTCTATAAAACTGATAGTAAGTCTGAGGTGTCAGGAAGGTATATGGCTCTGGTTCACGGATGTGAACATGAGGAAGGACAATGTTTTGGAGCTGAAGAAGCCATACCATTGTCATCACCAAATAGGGTCGAATGAAAAGTTGAAAAAGGATCAAAGAATAAAAAGGACATCTCAAGAATTGAAACATGGTTGTAAGACTTTACAGCAAGAGAGATTGGAATGTAATCTTTTCCTTTGAGCGGCGAGCACATGTACTGAGAGCTCTGAGTCTCAACACGTACGTAGAAATAGCAGGGGATCACGTTTTTTTGTCTAGTTCATAAATGGTAAAGTTATTAGTCTTACATCTTTCTATCTCCTCACCCACAATTCCTTGATTCCTTTCTAGGTCAACTTACCGATTTGCTGGAGACTTGAAAAAGCTTTCGTATATACAAGATCCAGCAAGTATGATTGTGAAGAGTTTATATTCTTTCTATTAAACCAAGAAAGGATTCTGTCCAACATTCAATTTCGACGCCAGTCTGGAGAATACGCGGATGAATATCTTCCAAACAGGTTCAGTGGGCGAGCCGTTTACTATATTCCTTGCATGGAATCATCCTCGCGCTTAACATTGATATTGGTAGATAAACTTGGGTCTCAAGCTTGCAGTTTCCGGTGGGTAACTGACTCGAGCTGATACAACCAACCAGCGGTTTTCCGTGCATGGTCTGATTGAGGAGGTTAAAAATGTAGGCGAAGCATACATGAAGATGATAGCTTTGAACGTTGTGATGGTCAGATAAAGCGGTGCTCAGATCACTTGGAGCGTGGGTGAAATGAGTCCATTTGGAAACCCCATTGGCAGATTGTTGAGATCGATGACTGATGAATGACGAGATGATTTAAGTCAACAAGCCTGAGGTGGGTCATGAGCCAAGCTTGGTTATGAGCACTAGTGATCCTGACGCTCGGTCTCTTCCGGTCTTCGTTTCGTAAAATCCCGTGATTGATTAAAGTGATGATGAAGACTTTTACGTAAACGAAGCGCTATCATGATTTGAGATGCTCCGGTTCATCGTCAATCTACCAGATAAACCGCTACCAAGCGCACCTCCCTCAATCAGTTGACGGATATAGATAAATATTAATATTGCCATTGTCCTCTTGAACATCTGATCATCATCACCATCATCATCTTTACTATTACAACGTAAAATCGATTTTTTAGAGCTTGATGAGTTCAGTCAGCTGTGAGGTTGCCAAGGGTTTTGTAATTGATTTTGATTGTAAATGTGTATTTTTATAATTTAAGTGGTCTTGGATTAACGGATTGTAGTTTTTAATGAACTTCTCACTTTTAAATATAATAACTTCTCATGCCCTTTACTTTTTCAAAATCTACAACTTCAAATAATAAAATATCCTATTGCGTCTTTTAATAAGTGTACTAACCAACGAAGTCGTATTTCAACTTTGCTTAATCGAAAGTCCGGTCGTTTCATTTCCTCAAGAACTCTTTACTCAACTCGTCTTGATTCTTGAATTTCTTAAAGCTGTCAGATTGCCAATCTCAACTTCAGTCAGAAGATCGCCGCCAAAAAACTCACACAGATTCAAAGAAACAACTTAAAGGAAGTCTTGTCAAGGAGTGTTTCAACCATTTTAGCACGATTTGATTTGATTGGATTGATATCACACAACACACTTAAATTAACCCCTATATATGCTATTACTGAAGTTTCAATCATCATGCTGTTCAATTCGTTACTATTACTCTCTTTACCTCTTTACCTCTTCATCCTACCTAACCCAACCATCTCATCTTCCATCAACTTGCCTCGATTCAATCCTTACTTTGCCAACATAGTCAAACGTAAAGAGCACCGCAACTTCTCTGCAATCTTCAATTCACCTCACAACATCGCTCTTGACACCGATGTCGCTCGTAATAGTCTTGGATCTGGTGATGGTGACATCCATGAGGCTCGTCATGAACTCTATAGGGTCGTCACTGAGGTCAGTCAAGACTTTGTCTCTTCATCATTCAAACATCACTTTGACTGACCATCTTAACATACCTCTCCTTTTGCTTTTCTTTTGACCTTCAATAGGCTACTCCCATCCATTTAGCTCTTACTCTTATTCCGGCTTTTATTGTCTTCTTCGGTCTCTTCTCAGCATTCGTGAAAGAAAAACTTTATGTTGGTGAAGCAATCATTGCAGTGGTCTTTGGAATCATTCTCGGTCCATTGGCCCTCGGTTTATTCGATCCACGCTCTTGGGGTGGCGGTAAAGAGTTCGATCATCTCACCCTCGAGCTTACTCGGATCGTCATCTCACTCAGCGTGTTTGCGGTCGGCGTGGAATTACCCAAGGCTTATGTGCTTCGTCACTGGCGTTCGCTCGCTGTTTTGCTCGGTCCGTTGATGTTGATCGGGTGGATGGTTTGTGGCTTATTGATTTATGTCCTCATTCCTGGACTCGATTTCCTCAGCTCTCTATTGGTCGCCGCGGCTTGCACGCCTACAGATCCTATTCTTGCTGCGTAAATATTGGATCTCTCTTTACATTAATCCTTTTGATCAAAAATCTTCTGACGTGGGTCCTCTTTGACTTAGATCTGTGGTCGGTAAAGGCAAATACGCTCAAAAACACGTTCCAGCTCATCTTCGTCATCTGCTACAAGCGGAATCGGGCTGTAACGACGGTGCCGCGTTCCCCTTTCTCTTCTTGGCCCTCTTTATCGCCCTAAGAGGTGATTATTCTTTGGGCAAGGTTGTTGGCGAATGGGTCAGTTACATACCGTGATAATGACTCATCTTAGTTTTCAGGCTTCAAAGCTTCATCATAGATCACCTGACTGATCCTCAACTTTGGGCTTCTTCCATCGATCTAGATTCTTTTGGTGATCCTCTATCAGATCGTACTCGGCACTGCAATTGGCGCGGTCATCGGTATCATCGCGAGGAAGACTCTCAAGTTTTGTAAGAGGCGCTCGTACATCGATCGTGAATCGATGGTCGCCATGTATGTCGCCCTCAGCTTACTCACCACCGGCCTCACGACGCTGGTGGGCTCGGATGATTTACTCGCTGCCTTCGCCTGTGGCGCAGCTTTTGCTTGGGATGATTGGTTTACGGAATCCATCGAAGCCTCCAACTTCTCCAGCATCATTGATTTGCTCATCAACAGTATGTTTTTTTGACTTCACAATCACCATACCTCATCTCCAATACTCAACGATTCTCCTCAGGTGCTACATTCATCTATGTAGGCGCTACAATCCCGTTCAAGGAATGGAATGACCCTTCACTCACACTAGTCCCCTGGAGGATCGTAATCTTGGCTTTCTCAATAATTGTCCTCCGGCGACTTCCAGCGATGCTCTTACTACAAAAATTGATTCCTGACCTCAAGACGGGGCGTGAAGCAATCTTCAGTGGCCACTTCGGCCCAATTGGTCAGTATCTTTCTTCTGCTCTTGACGCGCCGATTGCAATAACTAATCTCATCATATCTCTTCCTACGCCAGGGGTTGGAGCGATATTCATTTCCACATTGGCTGTGACCAAACTCCCAACGCCCAACATACCTCCCCAGAACAGTCTTGACACCGTTGCTCTCACAGTTCAACCTCTGACGTATCTCTTCGTCCTCTTTTCCGTATTGATACACGGTCTGTCGATCCCTTTCTTTACCTTGGGTCGCAACGTCTCGTCAAGAGTTCATTCAATTTCTCGCACTTGGACACAAGCGTCTGGAAATGAACCCAGTTGGCTTAATCGGGTTAAACGCGTTGACCGTAATGCCGATGGTGATATCGTAGATGCCAATGGGCAGCGGGTGTCAATGCCCGGGGAGACCCCTCCAACACTTCTTAATAATGACACGGATCTCGAAAAGCAGATCGGAACCCCGCAGGTCAACCTTGCCCAGCCTTTGAACCCCTCGAGTCCAACCATCGATCCCTTGGAACGCGCTGTATCTTCCCCACGGCCCTCTTACCATTCCGAACCTCCGCCACCAGAGCCAGTTCAACGCCCTCCTCACACCCATACTCTTTCATCGTCCCCACACGGCCTTGGTAATCTTGCCAATCTTTCTTTGGCGCGCACTTCGAGTCTCTTCAAAGCTAACCGGCGCACCGAGCAAGAGGAGCAAGCGCGTAAACAAGAAAAATTACGCAGAGATGACTGGTGTAGAAAAGAGCGACGCGACGTACCTCAGAAGGGCGAGGAGATGATTTACCGGTCCGGTCGCCATGTACGATGCTTTTGCTTTGCTCTCTCTGTCATTCTCACCAAGCATACTGACAATGCTCCATACTTTTAGATCATCATTGAGAGGGGAGACGGTGATGAGGTGGAGGTCAGAGACGTAGATCCGTCAACGGCGGCAGTTGAAAAAGCCAAAAAAGATCCTGAGTTGGGGCTAGTCTTTGTCCCAGCCGGAAGACTCAAGGCTGAATTGAATGCCGTCGAACGTGACGGTGTTTCTGCTCCTTCCCGTCGGCTTGAAGCATTCAAAAGGATCGTGAAAGGCGGTCTTGGAAAGCATCACAAAGGCGAGGGTTCAGTCCTACCAGGGCCGGGTCAGGGGCCCAGATCTTTTCAGCAAGATGACGCATCAAAAGCTCACGATGTGCCAGAAACGCCGAGGTCTATGCTTCAACCGGGCGACACTATCAATCCATCCTCTTCTCAAACCCTCAGCGCAGAGGCACCAGATGATCAACAGTCCTGGATCGAAGGCCACAAGGTCTGTCCCCAGATGCCTCTGTTTTTTATCTTTTCAGGACGTAATTTGAGATTGATTCTTCCTTTTTATAGATTGTTGTTGAATCCAATAATGGAGAAAATGTCCATGTATTATCTATTCCTCAAGATTGCTCAGATTCTCCTGCATCTCGATCTCAAGGTCCTTCAGTCGCCGTGGTCAATGATACAATTGTCGTGGATGAAACATTGCTACCACGTGATGCGGCTTCCCACGATCAACAAGAGGAACATCCAGCGGAATCTGTTCGACCGAGGTCGTCTTCCTCTCGATCAGCTTCCGTTCATTCTGGGGACCCAGCCCCTGATGATGATGAATGGGAAGAAGAAATCGACAGCCAGTCCGTACACTCATCCACACAGCGATCCCGAGGGACCTCATCTCGTGCGCATAGTACCAACTCAGCCCGACCTCGTTCTACTCGGCATTCATTGCGCCGAACTCAGATTCTTCACGGCAAATCTGCCCACTCGGGATCAAAACTGGCTAGTGTAGACGATATTTCGCGCCCGGAGCCAAGTGCAGCTCGTCGAGCGTCCCATCATCCTGCTCGCACTATCGGATTCCATAACGTGAAAGATCATCATCCTCGGTCGGGGTTGAGTGCGATAAGGAGTGGGCATGCATCTACTAGATCTTCATCACCGTCACAATCCATTAGATTTGCAGATCACATGGCTCGACCTAACCGAGGAGGACCTAAAAAAACCAAGAAGCGGTCAAAACTTGGTATACTAAAACGCATATCATCTAGTAATCCAAGTAGTTCACTTCCGCCTGACAACGCTGAAGACCCTTCGGCGGAAGGGGATAAGGAGAGTAAACCTGAAAATTGAAGTTTATATTTTCATTGCTCTCACAAAGAGGTCGAATGACTGGATTATGTAATTGGCCTGGACGACAAGAGCATTAAGACCAGGCCTTATCTTTTAAGACAAGTTTGTCACATTGGTCTTCGAAAATTACGTTTGTGATCATCGTATATGTATATTAGCCATTGAGCTCTTACAATGATTTTCACCGTTAAAATTAGGTAACAGTATGCTGTAATAGATATTTATAGTTTTTTCTTTTTGGTTGGGTGGTATTTGGTTTACATTATTGATTGTATGTCAAAAAAAAATCAGACTTAGTTAATCTTTTTTGGTGTTTGAAGATTTATCAAGAAAATCCGTACTATACAGAATCATGTTTTGAAAATCTCATGTTTCAAATTACTCAAAACTTTATGCTATGTGTAGGAGGTCAAAGTTGATTTATCAAAAGAAAAAAAGGTTCTTTGCATTTATTTATCTCTTTTTTTTCTCTCTTATTGGGGTCTTGTTTTGTGTTTAAAATTATGGGTTGTTGGGTGAATCGATTATGTGATTAAATTAGTAAATCAGTACATTGTCTTGTGTTTTTTTGTTTGAGATTGTCATTTTGAACTTGAGATTCATTAGCTAAGAGTATCTCACCAGTCCTGGCGGTCATAAAGGTCTAGTTTGGTAAAGATCATTCTGTTATTAGGAGGTGTCAAGTTTGGATGGTTTTTGGGTATTTTTCAAAATTTTGGGCAAGTTTTTTGTCAAAGAAAATCTTTGTAAAAGTGATACAAAAGGTGTCCTGCTTTAAAAACCTATTGTCTCTTACATAAACCACAACTAACCAGTAATCAAAAAACAAAGGTTTGGTTCTCTGGGCTGATCTTGTGTCAGCTAACTTCACATATATACATCAAGTGACAAAAACTGTAAATGTGGTGTTTGAGTATAAATCAAAAACCTTTGTCAATGATCATCAAGTGCTTGCAAAAGAATTTAAAAGAGTCTAAAGCTTACATTACATTTGCACCCCCTTATGAGCTTAACAAGTCTTAGACCTACTGAAGAGGAGTAAAGGTAAGAAGTTTAACATCACAAATTTATTCTTGGTTTCTCTTGTACAAGAAATACTTTTGGTACACCTTGTCATGTCAAGATATTTTGATTGTTCTTGTTATACTTATACTTATCAAAGAGCAACCAAGGGCCTGATCAGACAACAAGGTTACATATATCACAGTGTCCATTTTACTATGGCATGTTGAGGTGCACACACGGAGAGGTTTGAAAAAAAAAATTAAAAAGGTTTCATTCAGTTTCTTTGTCATACTTTGGTGAGATTCCAGCACCCCTTTGATCTCAGGAAAGGATATCAGACTTCCTATGTCTAATGGTCTCACCACCTGAGGAACTCAAGAAGGGCTGTCTGTACCTGGTGCTTAAGATCATTTAAAGCTTGTATCCAATCTCTACAAGATGTCTTTTGTGTGAGCATGTCAACCTGCCCCTTGAGTTTTTACACTGTGTATGTGATAACACAGGACCCCGGTATACTCCTATAAGGGGTACTGATCTGAAAATGTGTCTTTTGAGCTTCCGTGGGAGCTCCTCCCTGGCTTTACCCATAGCTTTAGGACAAGTTTAATATTTCTAATCAGCTGTATCAAGGTTTTAGAAACTCTGAAATGGGCAGAACCCAGCAGAAATCATGCAAGAATGTACATAAGCCCATGTGTTGTGTCTCTGCAGGAGCAACACTGGGTCAGCTGCGCTGCAACACGCTACAAGCAGTTAACCGCGGGCGCAGCTGTTTTTAAGGCTAACTTTCTCGTCACCGCGTTAACACAGCTGTTTTATACACTATCTATAGACCAAAAACCCGTAGCGCAGCTCCAAAGAGCTGCGCTACAAGCGTTCACAGCTGCGTTCACTTGTTTGGGAGGCACGCTCCGCTGCGTGTTACAGCTACAGCTCCACCGCAAAACCCGTAGCTTAATCATCATCAAAAGAGAAAAAATATAAGAAGAATTTTTGAAAACAGTACTTAATGATAGTAGAGAAATTTATAAAGAGAATAAAGAAATAAAATTGTAAAGTTGAATTCAAAGGAAACACACAAGTTAAAAAAACATTGAGAATTAACTCTTTGGAATTCCCATCATTTTGAAGACCTTCACAACGTCTTTGAAGCCTATTCCAAGGTCTACGCCTTCTCTCAACCTTAATCGAGAAGACACAAGCATCTCAATAGTTCTATGAGGAAAAGTAAGATGAAGCAGTAAGTGGTAGGGATGAAGCAATGAGGAAGATGAATAAAAGATAATTGGGAATTGGTTGGAAAAGACAGTATAGAATCCCCATACCTTGAGTACCATCAAATACACACAATGTCGAGTGCCACAATCCAGTGTCTGCTTGGCCATCAAGTTTATGAATGAACGCGTAAAGAAATTTCAGTAAGGGGTTGAGAAATTACAGCAGAATCATTTCAAGCTAGAGTAGCATGGCCTAATACATTGATGTTGTGTCCAAATTGGGGTAAGTAGTGTTGGTTCATGATTGATTAGCGTGGGTGGCACATAAGTGCCAAATCTGGATATAACATCACGCATAATGCTGTGTCATATCTGTGTCATATCCAATTGGGCTCTGACCCCAGCACAGGAGCTAACGGTGCCGGGTAACGGTGTTACGCTTGCCGGAGCGTAGCTATTTGAAAAAAATGACTTTTCCCAAGGCCCTGTAGTGTGATGGTATACTTTCCTAAAGAGCTACGCTCCCAATGAGCGCAGCTAGTGATAAAAACCGCTGCGCTCAGCTGCGCTTCAGCTCCGGCTAGCTCAGCTGACCCAGTGTTGGCAGGAGCTCAAAAGTCACATTTCAAGATCAGTACCCCTTATAGAAGCATACCAGGGGCCTGATAACAGCTCCAAACCCAATTTAAGGTGTTGGCTATGACACAGACAATCCATTAAAAGCTTCTTCACAGTTTACCAGTTCTTAGTGGGTTCTTATGTTTCACCACAAATGAAGTATTTGCTTTGTTAAGCTTTACAACCATTTCATTATTGTATGTTGGACTTTCAGAAAGAATAACCCAGTTTTGCACTACATACCTTAAAGAATATTAAACTTCAAAGTTGACAACTGAAAACCAAACAATACAGTCTTTGATGTATTTAAATTTTAAATCAACTTAGAAACCGGCATGTGAACATTTTCATTTTTTCCAATGTCCAACATATAATCAAATGGTTGTATGTGTCTGCTATCAATATGTTATGTGTCAGTTACTGAAAAAAGACATAACACCACCAAAATTGAGATGGTCTCATATGACATCATAGATCAGTAGAAACCTACTCCTGTATTTTCCCCCAAGAATGTATAGTTTATGACCTTCATCATGTAAATTGACTTACAGCTATTCCAATATTGCTTGTCCTCCCTTTTTGAAAAACAAAAAATGAAACCTGAGTTTTATTTGATAAAACTTTGAAATTGGCTGTAATGCAAGGAAATACAGGCAACTTTCAGGCTTTAACTGGTTAAAACTTAGATCCCAAGTTCACAAACTTTTTCCTTTCAAAAATGTGCAACAAGTGATATTTAAATGGCTGTAGTTATGGAGGTTGAAAAAAAACAGATCAAAAATATGATTTTTGTACTATACTTAAGACTATCTTGAATTCTTTGAATCTTTATTGATATACAGATATGTTAAATTTAAGGTTCCTTTCTTTAATATGCCTCTCTGCATTTTTCTCTAAAATAGCCTACCTGCACAAGACATATTAAATGAATGTAAATTTGTAAACCCTGCCCTTGAGCAAAAAGTCAGTGCTTGTGGCTTAGCCTTGCGGCTAGAAACATAACAGCTGAGCTCTTGCTTAGAAGCAAGTGTTTACAAGTCTATATCTACCAATCACACACCTCTTATTTCAGCCATCAAGAGTCATTAGACATAATGTTTTGCTTACAAGGTGTGTGGGTATTGGAATTATTCTCCAACACATTGTTCTCTATTCATAGTCTATTGTCTGCCTCTTGGTTACTACATTTCTTGGCATATCTTATCATTATTCCAAATTTGTTGGACATCAAACTGTCACCTTCCCAATTAATCATACTCATCAATCCACACTTGTCTTTTCATCAACCAGCATCTTTCCTAACTCATCATGCTCATTACTGCATTTGAACAGTATCAAGTCCTTCCTTTTAACTTCTATTGGAGATAATGCTACATCCTGGAAGGATAGTGCTATATCAATAACCCCTCTACTATTCTGTACTTCATCTCCACCATAAGTATCCCTTTCATGTACAATTATTGATTCACTTCTCTTGACCCTTCTGTCAACTGCTTTCCCCTCTACTCACCATTCCATTTTCCCCTCAACAGATGTTTTGAATTACTTTAACCACACTTTTGTTTGTCCACATTTACACAATATCAACACTGGCAATATGAAATTTTCACCAAATGAAGCCCTCTAGCACTGTGTTGAATATTGCTGATAAATTTATCTAAACATATACTCTTCTCATTACCTAGTCCATGAACTTGGTTATCCCCTCATTGTCAAACTTTCTGTCCTATTGCTAGCAAATTGATTTCACCTGTATTTCATACTTTTTGTTATGGTCTTCAGGGCGTAGACCAGAGATCAGATCACTGGCGTATAACTGAGATTGTAGCGTGAGGAAAAGGGAAACACAGTCCCCGTGCATCCAGTACAAGATATGAGCCACGCACAGTATAAGCATAACTACATATAAGGCTCATAACACTTTTAGCTTCTCTGTATTCCGATTCATCAATCTCTTCTATTCCAATGGGCGTCAACTTATTATCCACTATGATATTTCTGTACCACCATTCTCTGCATAACCTATAGTCAACCCTAAATTTGATTGGACATTCAATATTTACTACCGCTTCACCTCAAATCAACATTGACAGTCTGAGGTGATTTATGATAGTCATTCTCCCCAAATTCCAATTCATGCCATCATCAATTATATCTTTTTCAGTTTTTTTGATATTTGACATCACCCATTGGTATCCTCTTTTTCTCAGCAGTGTCTTCTTTATTCCTTTTCTCTACTGTCCATATGTTATAACCTCCCATGGCCTTCAGTGTTGTCAGCTAATCACAGCCCCCAACTACTGGTCACTGGCAGGCCAGTACATCCGATGTCTCCAAAATGTTTTCAACAAAACTTCAATTTGTTTTCAGCATAACATCCATCTGCTATCAGGATGTTTTGGGTCAGTTACCAGCAAAATATGTCATACCACCAAAATTGAGATGATGTCATACAGCATCATAACCCTGTACAAACCTGCTCCTGTATTTCCCCACCAAGAATATTTAGTTTATTAACCTTTGTGACATAAATTGACTGAGTTATTGAGGTTTGAAAAAAAAATCACGGACAAAAAATACTATTTTTGTACTATACCTAAGAATTGATTCTGGAATATCTTCCAGCTTCGTCAATATACATACACAAAAAAATTGATATTCCTTTTGAAAACATGTTTCTCCACATTTTTGTCCCCTAAAGCCTTCCTGTGTGGGCAGTATTTCTATATGTAATTGTGGTGTGTACACAAGCAGTGAATAATTTGATTGATTCTTTGTTTCTAGGC